ATAAATCAGGCGATTCATTTCTGTTGTAAATTCATGCCGGTGTCAACAACCTCCTTAATTTATCTATCGAGAGTTACAAGGAAAAAGGTTGGCAGGTAATGCCACTTGTGCTCAAGAGTTGTCCAAATCTGCACACTTTAGTCCTCAAGGTATTATTATCAGTTTCCTTTACTGAGACTCCTTTTTGTTTGTTGTTAGTGTTTCCGAATATTATACATGTCAAATTGGTCTCCGGTTTCAGGGTCTTGTGCACAGAGTAACAAATCGATGTGGAGATGCATGCCCTTGCATCCTTGAGAAACAGAGGAAGATTGTCAAGGAGGAAGAGGAATTATGTTGTTTATGGACATGTCAAGTGAAGATTCTAGAGATTTCAGAGTATGGAGGTTCTTTTCAAGAGCTGGATCAGATGAGACATTTCTTGGGAAAGTTGGAATGTCTTGAAACTGTGAAAGTTAGTGTTGTGGACGCAGACAACAACAGCAAGCTCTTGCGAACTAATCTGCTGTCTCTCCCCAGACTTTCATCAGAATGCAACATACAATTCATCTGACATTTTGTTTTTTACATGTTAACACAGTAACTTAACATGAATGAATATGAGATTATTATATCAGTAAAGTTGGTTACAATCTCTATTTTTAAAGATAGATAATACTAAGTATGACACACAAAAAAAAAAAAAAAAAGTAGCAGTGATATATCCTAGATTACAATATCGAATATTTCGGAGTCTGCAACCATGTAGTAATCGAACCGTTCTACACAAAACTCATCTCCAGTCTGAACAAAAGATGCATGAACAGCTATCTCCAACAGAGTTTTAAAAATCTCCAGAAAGTCCAAATTCCTTCCAACCATGAGATGTGACAAACAACCGAACAGCCTCAGAAGAATGCTTCGGACCAGATGTTATTGTTCCCTGCAAAGACATCATATGCACATGCAGAAAGATCAGTAAGTATGAAAGCACAAATCCAATGCTTTAGCCAAAAAGGATAAAGAGACTAGATTTCATGTCTCTAAAGCCAGATGTTACGAAATCTGGTTAAGTTTGAAGACAACTTCATCAAGTATGAACAAAAGATATTGATCTCTAGTGCAAGCTACATACAAAATCTGCGGCAATTACAAGGTAAGCTAAACTAATATTCAACCCCGCAAAAAAAAAAAAAAAAAAAAAAAACTAGTTCTCTGCATTAGCATGATTATCCCTTTGTGATTAACTACAGTGGCATTTCAATTCATAAGCCAGTAACGTAAAGTGAAACTCTGAATTCTACCTTGGAGTAAGATGTTGCTACGTGAGATGTATCATGCGTGCTTGAAGAGCTTCATACTAAGCCAATGAAAGTAGACAGCAACCAGAAGAGCTGGTAGAGTCAGTGGAGCCAAGAAGCAGTAGTACCTGAAGAATGTTTTTATATGAAATATGAATCATGAGATGACATACACGTAACAGATTTCAAGACGATGGATATCAATATAACAAGAATGATACACAAACAAACATTAGCCCGGAACAAGAGTGTACCTGTCATTCTGAATAGCTTGGATAATGGGATTGTCAGAGAGTGGAAACAATTTGGAGACTATAGCTACAAACACAAATTCAATGAAGGAAATGGAACCAACGATCACTAAAAAGCCTCCCCAAAACTTCATTCTCAAGACCCCCAAAATTCTCAATGTTTCATTCAAGCAGTCTCTGTAACAGTCCAAGTAGCATCATGTAACTCCTTATGCCGGTAGCAGAGATAATATAGTGATTGAGAGGATCTGAATTCAGTAAAGTAAGAAGCTGAGTTAAAGTCGTTATCTGAGTATAGAGTAATCATCAATTCCCATGAAATCCTAAAATCTGGAAATTTAATTATAACAAAATTCATTATCATATTAAGCCAAAGTTTCTTACTTTCCAATAAACCCAGTTCCTTAAATGAAATTTGTTTGGATTTCTTGTAGTATTAGCTAAAACTCAAGCCTAAAATCTCCCAGATTCATAAGAAAACTACCAAAGGCATCATCGTAAATGATACGAAATCCCTAAAAACTAAAAAAGCGACGGGAACAAAACTAAACTGAGAGAGAGAATGAAGGAATGAGCACAACTTACATCGGTTGAGAGATTCCCCTGAAATAGAGCAGACAACCGAAGATCGCAAACCAAACAAAGCAGAGGGGTAGAAGAAGAAGAGACCAAACCGGCGAACCAGAGCGGCAAAACAAGCCAGCATATCAAAATCGCTAAACCATCAATTTACCCAAATCGGACTGACTGATTATCAGTCAAACCGGTTTAATCTCAAACATTTCCGAACCAGAAAACTAATGTCCTCCACAAGCGGTCTAGACGGGTTTTGGTAGGCTTCCAAAAATATAGGCATAACTTGGCCCAGTCGTATTTTCCAAAATACACAAGTTTTAGGTTTAATTAATTTTCTTTCTTTATCGGAGAAGCCCATTTGGGGTCTCACATGAGTTTTTATAATTCTAATTAAAAAAGGATTTTTCATTTTTCTAATCGCCTTATAAAAAGATTGGTGTTTCTTCTTCTTGCCTTCAAAATCAAAACTTTTTTTTTTTTTGAATAACCGCGGATCTCCCAAAGGCTTCCTAGGCCCAAGGACTAATCCCACGAGGCTGGCAATTCCCCTATGTAAACCTGCCAGTGGCCGTGCCTCGAACTCTGGTGGCGGAAGTCACAGTTGTGACCCTTTTACCACTAGGCCACAAGGCCCGGTTAAAAACAAAACTTTTATAGATATAACTAAATCAAATTATGGCCTTCTACTCAATCATGATGATATTGATTGTTTCTATTTTGTTGATATCATCTTCTTCCACGAACGTAAACCAACACTTCCGGAGTCTAATTCTTCACGAAAAAACTCATACATCTGAATCCAACAACATCGTAGCGGCTCCCTTTCAGCTACCAGAAACGATGGAACCGATGGAAAACAAAGCTCCTTTTAACCACCGTGACGAGGTCCTTGACGCTGGAATTGACTACGCAACTTTTTTGTGATCCGTTGGCAGTGCCGGCTCAAATAGGGGCGAGCGGTGCGACGGTCAGGGGTCCAATCCCGTGCTCCAATAATTAAAGGGCCCATTTTAATTTTTTTTTTATAAAAGTATTAAAATTTTAAATTATAACATAAAAATAAAATTTAGAAGGGCCCATAAATTTTTTTATTATTGTTTTTAGTTTTAATAATTAAATTTTTAATAAAAAAATCATACAATTTTTTTATATAACACAAAGAACACAAAAAAAAAAATTCTAAGGGCCTAATGTTAGATTTTATATATATATAACAATGTTAGAATTTGTATATATAACAATGTTAGATTTTAACAAAAAAAAAAATTATTTCGTATTAAAGCTATATGATTACACTTTTGGATTGTTAGATTTAACCCATAAAACATATGTAATTTAGTAACTCAATTATACATTTAGATATTGACCCGTGGGACAATTTTGACTTTTTAATTTTGATCTTCATAACTTTATGATTTTTGTAGTATATAAAACTGATTGGTGGTGTATGGTTTTTGATAAAATTTAGCTCTTATAGTTAAATTTGATATATATAAAAAAAAATATTGTTAGCAATGTGCCATGCTAATTTCATTCTTTCATGTATTAAAATTTGAGATCACTAACCTGAATTTTTAACATCACTTATCAAAGCAGTGACCCGAGCCTCCAATTCTCCCCTTTCTTTTGCACCGGCCATTAGCAATCCTATATTCAGAGACATTATGAGTTTCGTCTACGTATAGAAACAAACAAAATAAAGATGAGGTTAATGGTGCTAACATAAAAATTTGACCAAAATAAACCATATACAAAGGAACGTGTAGAGAGTTTTATCTTTACGTGCTATAATGTGTTTAAAAAATGAGATGAGAGGTAATGGTAAAGACTAAAGAGTATATATAGGCGTCACAGGTCATAAATCTCTTGGTGACCAAGGAAAATATATTTGATACCTTAACTAAAATGGAACAAAATATATTGAATCGGATTTTTTTTTGGAATATACTACTATGAAGAATATATCTGTAATTAATATTTTCTATAAAATCGTTGTAATCAATATTTTGTGTGAAAAAAATCACGGAAATGATTATCTGTGAATAAGTAACTGTAATCACATTAATTATTTGGTTGTTTGGAAAGATTTGCTTCGATATTTATGGAAACTGATTGATTTAATTTGTTTATTAATTAACTTACCCAGCGCCGAAAATTGTGGGTACATTTACTTTTGGAGAATTTATTATGCTAAGATTTTCATATTTTGATAATTAAAGTTTGATTATAAAAAAAATGGTAATTAAGGTTTGATTAGGATTAGTTTTTGGTTAGTTATTTAAATTTCGTAGATATGCCCGAGATTATTGTGATAAAGAGTTTTAATTTCGAATATTTGACTTCTATATGTTAGGATTTGATATCTCGTAACCATAAAAATAGGAAATGTTTTAAGAGTTTATTTATTGATTTGTAAATTTGATTAAGACATATATTTTTCCAGATTTTATTTGTAGGGACTAAATGTACAATATTGAAATTGTAAAAGGATTTTTGAGGCCAAATCTTCACCAAATATATATATATATATATATATATAAATTATTAGATTGTATATTATCTCCCTTAATCGTGTGGTACTGATATGATGATTCTAATGCTATCTACTATACATTTTTGCAACACTTTTTGGGGTTCCTAATCGGGTCAAATTTTGTTTAATTTTGACCCGGAAATCTTCAATCGGATCTTTCCTTATTTTTGACAAAATTAAAAAACGAAAATTAATCAATAAAATCTAAAAATATATATGTTTTCTCAACTAATTACTATACCTAAACTCTTTATTTATGGCATATTCTCTACAATTATTATAGATATAGAAATCAAATATGATTATTTAATGCTAATATAACAAATTTGAACTAATTTCTTAAAACCACTCTACCTAATTAAAACATAAATATATGATTCTCATTTCACTTTTATATGATCTTATATTTATATTATTTTGAACTATTATAAAATATATATACTTAATAAAAAATTCGATTTTTTCTGCATATGCTATGATTCAAATTTTTTAAAACGGACATATTACTCAATCGATGAAGAAAAAAGTATGTGTACAATCTATATTAACATTTTTGAAAAACAAATTTGCGCGTTTAATCAGGTCATATTTTTTTTTTTACTCTTACCCGAAATTGAGTCATTCAGATATTTTCTTAATTTCTACAATTATCTAAAACGGGACAATATACCACGGTGAAATCTTAAAATTAACAAATCGAAATACAATTATTTAGTATTTTAATATACATTTTAAAAATATTTTTACGGGTTGGTCTAAAAACACACACTAATTTGAATATATATATATATATATATATATATATATATATATATATATATATATATATATAATAGAAACTATTTGAAAGCAAACTTTTAAATTGACTCGAATTATATGTCTTTTAAATAAAAGTGTTATTAAAAGAAATGACAAAATGATGGTTAATTTTACGGGACATGATTATATGGTGGGACGGATCGGATTTGGATTGATATTAATACGGGATAATATATCACGGGTGAAATCCTGGGATTAACAAATCAAAATACAATTATACAATTTTAAACACTTTACTATACGAATACAACTTAAAATTTTCATTTGTAGTTACAACGCATGTGACTCGCAATGTACAACAAAAGATATTATATACAACAAATTCATCGGTTTATAAAAAGACAAAAAAATCAAATAATTAACCCGCGGTGTACCGCGGGTAACAATCTAGTATATACTTAAAACACTAGTTTAACTATTAGGAACTGATCTCTGATATCGCAAATGCTTTTAGCCTTCTATTGTCATTATATACAACTAGGATCCGACCCGCGGTCCACCGCGGAAGAATATTGGTTTACATATGTTGCGTTTAATATTGTGTGTGTTTTTTATGTGTAGATATGTGAGCTAACCAAGGCGAGATAGCTAAAACAATCGTAGATAAACAATAATAAGTACTTAAACATGGTTGGTACAACCAAATTATGTAAACGGGACTGGATAGAAGTTTGATTTAAAAGGCTACATTCTAGTCCACCGAATATACAATTTTTGATTGGTATATATATGATTAAATAGTAATAGTAAAATGTAAACCCAATGCCATAACTCTCTAGGTTGCCATATACTCTGTTTCAGAATTTGTTTACATAAATCTCGAGTTTTAATCAACAATTAAGTTGAACTATAATCACATTTGGGCTAAAGCTAAAACATTAATCATAGTTTAAAGAAATATCAGTAAACTCTATATGTAGATGATGTGATGTCTTCTCAGTTTTACCGAAGTTTAGTTTTGTATCAATATGAGCAAATTTGGTTTCCCTTAAAATCTAAATGTAGTAGACATGCATCTCTTTATCAATGTTGTGAACCATAACAAACTGGATCGGTCACTTGTATCCAGTGCCGGCTCTCCCCATGTGCGGGGAGTGCTCGTGCACAGGATCCAAAATTTTTTTGTCTTTTTTTTTAACTAAATTTATTAAAATTAGGATCCAAATTTTTTTTTTAATATATATACATAAGAAATTAGGGCCAATTGTTTTTTTTCAGTTCAGGGTCCTTAATTTTTTTGAACCGGCCCTGCTTATATCCATGCTTTGATTCATTTTGTACCAATCCCCATAAATGGACTAAAGTCCACAAAACGTAAACTTGAGCATCTTTTTTAACAACACATTCAATTCATTTTGTATTTAAGGATACAAGAAGGCTATTTTGATCCTCAAAAACAACATTACAAGTAGATCTAGATCTTCAAAGTTCTTTGGTTACTAAGCTCTTCACCGCCGGTCTTAGATCTGCCTCAAGTGCATCAGGGGTGAGTAAGATTCCATCTCCGTCGGATGTGGTGTGGAGTTCTCTCGTTCGATGTTGTTGTGGCTTCGATGTGGCGGTAGAGGTGAGCTGTTGCAGATCCTGCCTGGTTGAGGACGCCGGTATGGGTAGCGGTTCATCCTCGTTGCTCAGTCGTCGCACCGGCCGCTGCGGCAACTGCGGACGTCGTGGGGGAGACGGAGGGTTTTTGCCGATTTGTTGTGGAGGTTAACTGTGGATCTTTCGGGACCTAGATGGCTGGCGTGGAGAACGGTGATCTCTGCTGGATTGAGCCTCCGGTGTTTGCTACCGCTGCGTTTTGCTTCCTACTGGCCGGATTGATGGGATCTTGCTCTGTGAATCGGGATTATGTCGGGATTGGGAAGGAGGGGTTATGGCTGTGCTTGTCAGCTTGCTAGGTAGGGGAGCTGTCAACGGCGGGCCTGGTTGTCGGAGAGTTGACCTTACCGGAAGATTTGTGGCGGGTCTGGTGGGTCGTCGGAAAAGGAGCGCTGCCGGGATTCAGAAGCTTCCGTCATCGTCTCTAGATCCGTCGATTCCGCCGCAAAGCTGTGGATCTTG